CAGCTGTTTTATACCTGTAAACTTTAATACGCACGCGAACAGACCTGGTAAATGGATTAATTTTTTTTTGTAAAACTTGACGCAAAAACCGTTGTTTGTGAACAGGAATAAAGTCAAAATTTAAAAGCTTTTTCCTCGCAAAGCGTAAGTTGACGGCAAATTGAATTGATTGCACACGTTTGTTTTGAAAAGGTTTCAAAAATTCTTCCTGCAGGAAGTACACCTTTCGCTTTTGTTTCGTCTTTTTTTCTCTCGTTAAATGATGTTCGCCGTTAATAAATACTAATGGGATGCTTAGTTATGTTGCAGTTAGGTTTTCCGTCCAGATAGACAGAAAGGAAAGAGGCAGGCAGATTGAAACAAAGCGATCGGAAAAAACGTTGAAATTAGAATTCAAAAGGTGGAAGTATTTTAGAGAAGTCCGCTAGTGTTAGCTAAAATCATCTAAGGGAAAGTATAAGTAGAAATCTGATTTCGAAAGTTTTTGGGCAGGACTTTAGAGAATCACTCATGAAACGGCTAATTAGCGAACAGTGCTGTGAACACACCTTACCTTTTTTCCTTGTAAGATGAGCCTTTTTTAAGACACTTAGCGATTGCTGTTCCAATCATACTTTTTGGAATTTAAAAAAAAAAAGTTAAGTTGTCAGTCAGAAATAACTAATCAAGTTTTGAAGCCGCCAACATCGGTGACTGCAAAAAAAACTTTTCTGTCACTTGATTATGGTTTATTTCCGTTCAATATCAAAAATTAAGAAAACAGCGTCATGTCGCCCACGAACAGGCTTTGTATGGTGACGCAAAATTACTGTCAGCTTTAATAAATAAAACAGAAGGTGACAGCGTTGGCGTTTAGCAAAAACCGCGGCCCTTCGGAAGTAAAAATTCTTTTTTCTGCAGAATAGCAAACTTGGCATTTGATCGCAACTATGGTGATCAAATACAAGGATAGGTGAAAGAAAAAAAGTGGAAGATTAGCGAATAGATATTAAAATATTTAATTATCAAGGAGACACTATTTTAACATTGCACTCTTATCATTGAAAACTTTTCGTGATAAATCTTCAAACGAGAAATTAAACAGATTAAGAAAATATACTTTTTTTT